GGGGGGGGGGGGGGGGGGGGGGGGGGTTCTCCCCTCATAGATTATGTCTTTGAACAGAAAATAAGGAGAAAAGGGACTTCTCATTCTGGATGTTACAGTGCTATTTTTAGAATTGAGGCTTTGTTATCTTACTTTAATGGGTAAAAAACACGGCACCCCTTGAGTTTTGGCAATATTATACGCATTCACCCTGACATTTTACAAATAATACGGAGACTCTTTGAGATTTGAAACTCATTGCACAAACACTCCATTCGTCTCCCTTCCATCAATATTGCTAACGAAAAGTGATGATTTCATCCCAATTTTTTTTTTATTTTCACAATTGCCCTTCTCCAAATTTAGTACCCAAAAAAATTAAAAATTTAATAAAATCAAATAAAATTTGATTTAGTACCCAAAAAATTGATATAATTTAGTACCTCAACAAATTGATTAAATGAATTTCAATATTAATTTGATAACAATAAAAATTAATTCGACAAAGTTAAATATTAATTTGACATAATTAAATATTATTTTATAATCTAAAGTTTATTTCATGTTGAATGTTATTTTTTATTGATTAAATCAACACGAAATTGACCTTAGGTTATATTTTTGTCAATATTATCGATTTTTTTGGTACTAAATTTTTTAAATGTTTTTGAACTATCAATTTTTCAAAATTTTTGGGGTACTAAATTATATCAACTTTTTGGGTACTAAATTAAATTTTGTTTGATTTTATTAAAATTTTAAATTGTTTGGATACTAAATTTGGAGAAGGAAAATTGTGAAAATAATAAAACTTTTTGGGATGAAAACATTACTTTCCATTAGTAACATTGACGGAAGGGAGATAGAAGAGATCTCCGTACACTAAGTTTCAAACCAATCTCCGTGTTATTTGTAAAATGTCAGTGAATATCCATGCAATATTGTCAAAACTCAGAGGGTGTCCGTGTTTTTTACCCTACTTTTAATTTGTTGTTTGAATTCACTAGTTCAAAAAATGAAGTTAGAAATCTTATCAAATATGGTCCCTTTTTTTCAAAAAAAAAGAAAAGGAAAAAAGGGTATTCTCTTTCTAATAGTTACAGTGCTATTTTTAGAGGTGAGGTTTGTCATCTTACTTTAGTTGGTTAATAGAAGGTGACGACTTGGTTATGTTGTTGAGGGTCTGGGACACGATATCTTCACTAGTATGGGGATAAAGTGCTCAAAACCGTCCTCACATTTTTTTTGTCGAAAATCGAAAAGTATTTTAGCAAGGTTGCTAAAAGGGTCTATGAATTCTGTTATTATGGTTCATGATTTTGGAGGACCACCTTTGTTCGACACAACGTTAATTGAATTATGGGTCACTTTGGTACATAGTACATGTACAAATATGTGGTACAATATTTTCTTAAGTATGCAGTACTATAGAGATAAACCTAGTTGAAATGGTGTTTTGGGTTATAATTCATTTTTGAAACTTTTATCCAGATCGTTTTCATTGCTATACAACATTGTATGTTATAGAACTTTCATAAACATTAAGTTAGTTATAATTTATCTTATATTTTGCTAGATTTTTTATTATCTAAAATAATATATAATTATAAATTTATAAATACATAATCAATTAATATGTATTTTCTAATTGTGTTACATGTTCCAAAGCAAATCAATTTAAAGTTTGTATTACGATTAGGGGTTGTACATTTTGGTGATTTAGATCGCAAGTCTACTTTGTTTGGAATTAATATACCAATATCTTGGATCGTCAAGGATTTATTAAATTGTGGTAACTATTCAACAACCATGTTAAGGTGAGTCTCTAGGTACATCAGGAGAAAACATATGCCATATGGTTGTATATCTAACATTATACCGGTGCAATAGGTGAAAATAAAGTTGTCAATTATAGTAATTTATAAAAGTCTTCTTTAATTTTCAGGTTTAACACCCATGAGTAGCCTAGCGGAGACAGAGAAGAAGACTTATAAATTTAGATATCTTATCAATGAATTTTTGGTTTAATGATACTTCTTATCTTGTGAAAATTTTTTTTTTTTGAAGTCAAGGGTTCGAATCCCCTCCACTCCTCCCAAAAAACAAAAAATTAAAAAAAATAAAAATAGAAATAATAATTTCCAGGTAAGAGCATTTTCTATAGCTATTCTACAAATATAGGATACATCTAGATACATAAATCACTTTCTTCAAATAAAGCATACACATTGATACATAGTCATAACTCATGCCTAAAGACACGATAAAATATAAAATTTGAGCACCCAAAAAATCGATCCACTATATTAAATTTTTTTAACATGTGCATTTTATCGTATATGAATAATATTTGAAATAAAAATTATATTAACTACACATTAATTAAATATATGATAGAAATAAGTGATGTGATGTTTTTAAGGGAAAAATATATAAATGATTAAACATGTGATATAAATGAGTGAATTGATATTTTTAGTGAAAAAATATGTAGGAAATAAAAATTCAAGTTTCTATGTGTTTTATTACATAGATAAATCATAGTGTAAACTACACAAATATCGTTTAAAAAAAAATACACAAATGACCTTTAAACTAGACTTTTGTATCAATTAAATTCTTGAATTAATTTTCATTTTAATTGAACATATAAACTCTAAAATTTTAGCAATTAATTCTTTGAATTATTTTTTTGTGCCAATTAAATCCCTAAACTCTAAAATTTTAGCAATTAAGCCATTTTGTCAGCAACCATTAGGTTTTTGAACGAAATATTTCACGTGTTTACCACATGAACAATAGATTAAAACTATTTTAGATAGTTCGTTCGAAATCTATCAGACGAATAACCCATTCCTTACATCCATCAACCAAAACCAAAACTTAAACCTCTTTCGTACCCTCTTTCATCCCCTATCAAGTGAAGCAAATCAACAAGCAACATGCAATTAAGTTGAACGGAGGGAACCTCGTAAAAGAGAGAGAGAGAGAGAGAGAGAGAGAGAGGTTTTTTTTCCTTAATTTTGGGAAAATGTACTTTTTTTTTAATCTTTTCTTTAAATTTATTTGAAGAACTCCCTGCTTCATGTTCTTAATTACCATGGGTCCTCTGAAAATGCTGAATTCACATCACATGGGACACTCAATAATGGCTTTGAGACGGGGAACCAAGCACCAATGCGACAACGAAGGGCATTCAGCAAAGGTAATTCCTTGCTTCATCTGTTGGGTAAATAAACTTGGGCCTAGCTGGTAATGTAAGAACTCAGACAAGTACTACCCTAACTCGCACATTTCCATAAAAAGCACGATTGCTGAGAAACAAGGAACTGGTAATTATAAAAATAAACTTAGTATTCTTCTACTTATTTCCCTTCTTGGAATTGTGTAAGATGTCCACTGCTTCCATTTTACGATCTTTAACACCTAACGTAAGCTACGTTTCATCTCGCTACACCAGACATAATTTTTGAGCATTCATCTGCGAGCAAATGCAACATCATTATCATTGCCTACAATGGGAACCAACTGCTTCACAATTATGTGAATAAGTATTACAGGCTTAAACTGCACATACTTTTCCCTCCTAGACTTTTTTCGTTTTGGTCATAGTTGAATACATTGAGTACTGAGCACATACAGTGTTCTTATTAAAAGAAAACAACCAGGATTAATATTAGAACAATAGTATGATCTATGAAGTGCAAATACTACATATACATAGCAGAAACATCAACACTCGATTAACTTTTCAAAATCAACTAAGAACATGAATCAAAATTGAATATTTCAACTTCTACGTATTAGACTTGTCTCACGAACATTCAACCAAGTAGTAGAGAAACAAGATAATGAAGAACAGTCTCAAAAAGTTTTGTCTATTGATGTAAAAGAATGTGCTGCTCTTTGTATTATATAACCTAAGACTTACAACAAGACATATACAATACAACATACAAGTAGAATAAAAAGGATTTTATTGATGTAGGAATGTAGGCATTTTTCCTGCAGATGGTAATCTGACACCAAAATAGGCATTTTTCCTGCAGAAGTTATTGAAGGAGAATGTAGTGAAGTGGAACTACAAGTCTCTCTCAACAAAAAAATTCGAAGTTCAGTCTGAAAATTTCGATGACACGGAAACAGCAACAAAATAGGTGGTGAATATGTGTTATCCTCTTCCCCAAACTAAAATCTCAAAGAGATCCCATAATCAAAACACATTATTCATATTAACATCAAGTACAGATCTCAACATCATATATGTAAGTCACATGAAAACCGACTTCTGATTTCAAAGATTGCAATTTGCATGCATAGCCACATAAGAACCAACTTTGCAATTGCTGGCAGAGCCAAAACAGGAAATAGTGAACAGAAGAATTCCCTGATGACAATCATAACAGGAGTCATTTCTTATGAGAAATCTGTCAAGTCTGACCAGAGTAATACAATGGGAACAGAAATATAGGAAATTCATAGAAAAGTGCCACCAGCGTCACAAGACAGAGCAACTAATCTTAGGCAAGGGGATCCCTCTCCTTGGCTTGTTGCAGTAGCTCTTCCCTCACTCTCCTTATCTCCGCTTCCTTCTCCATTTTTTCTTGCTGCAATTACACGAAAAAACCATACCTTTAATAATTCAGATTCATAAACAAAACAAATAAGTAAAAAAACAAGAAAAACATGTTGATTATATCAAAATTTGGAGGCACCAATAATTTTAATTCATCATGGGTAAGGATACTATTGCTGACATAATAACCTCTACACGAAATGCTGATATGGACAGAAAAAGAGTGGTTCGAATAGCATCTACTAATATCACTGAAAATATTCCAATGCATTGTTGTGTTGAAGGTTTAAATCCACATCGATGATTAGACGTTGGTGACCCATTATAGACAGGAAAAAGCTCATCAAAACCTTTGCTAGAATAAAATCAATACAGTTAAAGAGTATGCCACCTGAAAACATGCATTTGAGAGAAAATTGCCCACAAATTATTCTCCAAATGGCCCAACAAAAGAAAAAACGAACAAGTGCTTAACCATCCACATTTGGGAATTGATACAACACATCATTTTGAGAAACACAAATCTATCTCCGTTTAATGCAGAACATCCTCAAATTCCTCTTTTTCTTGTCTGTGCGAGTGCAATATTTCATCAATCGTCAATGGGAGGTGCAAATTGATCTAATTCGTTAACTATATTCTAGGAGGTTGTTTCATATCAGTTCATTCATCTGAGTTGAAAAATCAAAGCAATCCACCGAATCAGAAAACCCTAATCCACAGCCTCATATACAATCTGAAATGCGCGCGCACACAAACACAATATATATATATATATATAACCAGAGAGAGAGAGAGAGAGAGAGAGAGAGAGAGAGAGAGAGACCTTTTCGTCCTGGCGAAGAGCGATCCAGACATGAACTTTGTCCATGGACTGCCAGAAAACGAAGGCACCCAAAGTCATCGCAAAGAATGTTGCTACTTTCACCATCTTCGATACTTTCTTCTTCTTCGTCGAGGGCTTCCTCCAGCAGACTGTAGATTCCAGAGAATTGTAGTCTCAATTCCAATCGATCGATAAGTCTAAGATGGGACTCAGATGAATCACCTGCACTGCGTCGTACCCAATCTTTGCCTTTGCCTACACAGACCGCTGATCAGTGATCGTACCTACAATGTGAAACGTTGAAAGACCCAAAAACGACGCAGTTTAAGGTTAAATTTTTCACAGTGATAAGTATTAAAGCGACGTCGTTTCTAGTTCATTTGTTTTTTTTTTTTCTATTTTTTTTGGTGTATCGCCCTTAAGCCAAATTATTATTGAAGTTTATTCCTGTAATAATTCTCAATGAATTTTATTGTTTTCCTCTATTAACTGGTTGGTCTCGGGTACAATTTGAGCAGGCTAACTCAAATTCAGTTTGAAAAAAATAGGGTTTAGATTAAACTTGTGTTGACAAATCTTAGCTAAAATTAAATTCAAGTCATATTCGGGTTAAGATTTCTAGTTTACAGGTTCAACCAAACCCAAACTGAATTAGTAAAATCGAGCTCAACTTTAATTCATAATTCAGGTTTAACCTCAAAATTTAAGTGTGTTTTAAGTTTTTATTGAACTAGTGGTTGCACACGTGCGTTGCACGTGAATAGTTGTGAATTATAATATTTTATTTATGTTTTATTTTTTCGACAAAGTGTTGCTTGACACTTGATTATGGTCTTAGAAACCTATATCCATAAACATGTTTGTAAGAAGGGTTTAAAAAAATGTTGTTTAGTGTCTTTTGCATTTCAAAACATGACCCAAAAATAATAAACTATTAAATGTCATTTGTCAGCATTTTTCTTTTTCAAAAAAAAGAAAAAAGAAAAAAATGATTATAAGTCAACTATGCAAGTTGTTGACGACATGAGCCAATTTTATTTTGAATTGCTTGATTTATTAAAAAAAATTACTATACTTAAACCATAATTTTCATGTCATCAAGTACTCTTTATAGTCACTATTTAACAAAAGTCATCAACTACACAAACTAACACAATCCATTTATATCATCTACATGTAAAAGAGACATGTTGTAGGATTAATTCGTCAATTGGCTATCAATTTTATTAGACTCTCTATATAGAGGCATTAACCTTGTTTTGCCATTGTTTAGAAGTTTATATGCACACCAATCACATTCCACAACCGCATCTATCAAGAACTTTAAAACTGCTAGATTTTATGTATATTCACTGGATTGTAAAATTTTTCCCAGTACTCAAGCAATAGATATTACAAAATTCTGACTAAAGATCTCTAATTGACAAAAAGCAACTAATTTGCCTATTAATTTGCAATATTACAAGAAAATAATAATAAATTCTAATATAGAAAATATGAGTATCATTTATATTCTTATCTTTCATTTTGGTGTAAGGAGTTGAGAGGAGACAATAATTCGTCAAGTATACTCAATTATCATTAGGTAGAAAACTTTATGAAAATATTTATTACAGAATTCTAAAAGTTTGCGAGGGATAGTATCTCATAAAGGCTTTAAACAATATTTATTACAGATTAATAGTAAATTTTTTGACTATAACTATCAAATAATAACTTAGGAAACATAAATACTCACAGAATTATACCACAACCTGCTAAGGAACCAAAATGCTAGACCCTTAGAAGCAAAATTTTGCAAATGAGTTGACTTTATTGGCCCTGAAGCAAAACTTATGATTCTATTTACTTGCAAATGAATGAGAGTCTTAGAAGTTGTGCCCGTATGAATACTCGTATAGATGTCTTTATGCCTTGATTGTATGTAGGTTGCTCCTACTTTTCGTTCTACCGTTTTGAAGAGGATTGTAGAGCGGTGCATTATGACAAATTTATTTTTACTGTTAGAATCCTACAAGCAAAAAAATAATAATTAACTTGATCAAAATAGTTGTGCTAACATGGTGTGATGCATATGGTTAAATACATATGACATATGTATACCTAAGATGAATGTGTAGAAGTATTACATAAAAAATAAGCGTCGCAATTAACACTTTGACCACGATGAGCATAGTTAATATTCTGCTCAACCACCTATTTATCTATATCTATATTACTTATAAAAGTGGCTAACAATGAAAAATATTTGATTTCCTCTTTTACCCTCAATTAATATAATAAAGTCCATTATATCCCTCATACCCTTTTAACTTCTTAAATTAAATACATTAACCTATCATATTCCATGATCTTCTAAAATTAAATATATATATATATATATCTACACCACTTATAACCCTAATTATTTTTTAACAATGAAAAACATTTGATTTCCTCTTTTACCCTCGATTAATGTAATAAAGTCCATTATATCCCTCATACCCTTTTAACTTCTTAAATTAAATACATAAACCTATCAGATTCCATGATCTTCTAAAATTAATTAAATTCACAAACATATATATATATCTACACCACTTATAACCCTAATTATTATTTTTTTATCGGGGGTCCTATTGCATCATTTAACCTCCCTTTAGTATTATATTATATATCTATCTATCCATCTCAATATTTGTGCAAAACTTTTGATTGACAATAATATCCTTAAAACATGCTAACAATTAAACAATATCATTTTGTTGTGATTTTTCACTGGGTCATAAATCTCTCTTGCAAGTTATTGTCAATTAAATAGACATAACTCTTACAGAACCCTTGGAGTTCCATAACTCCAAGACATGGAACGGTGAGAAGTTGATTGACTTGCTAAACTTATAAACCGATTTTCGTAAAGCATACCTAGATATTATTTGCAGGTTTCAGATAATGCATCACCATGATGGAGCCCAAGCCAAACGTTTTCCCTCTCCATTTGCAGCCACAAACCAAACCAAATATTTCTAATTCCTTTTGCTTTGTCATCTTTATCATTTTGTATTGATGCAATATATATGTTATGACACCACCTTTATTCCAAATTATCCCAAGCTTTATCTCGGTGTCATATTATATCTTTTAATTGGCTAACCACCATAGTTTATGTTCTTCATGAGTATGAGCGCTTTTTGTTTTCAGATTTCAGCTTAAAAATTGAAATCATTATTTGTATATTGTGGGCGATATTTAATTAATTGTATGTGTATGTTTTAAGACTTCACATGTGACATATCTCTAATCCCATGAGATGACTAAAATGAAATACAAGTTTTACAAATCATGTGTTCTATATGGTATTGCAAGGTAATTCACAGGTGTATTTTAATGCTTGAAACAATTATCTTCTTGAAAAAAAAGCAAAAGCAAAGAAGAAAATTCCTAGCGATATATTTTCATGGACGAAACAAAAATACTGCTAATATGTTGTAAGTTGAGTAGTTCTATTTATTTAATTTTGTACCTGAATTGACCAAGTTAGAATTGACATGTGAATTTAGAATCAGAAATTATTATTGTTCTTCTTACGAAATTTTCCAACATATATCTTAGAAATCACTCAATCTGAAAGAGCAGTTTGTTACCTTAAGCACCATTGAGTTTGACTTTGTGTATTTTTCCTTGTTTGGGCTTTGTGTATGCAGATCTATTTATTAGAAGATTGCTTTTTTTCTTTTTTTTTTTTACACAAGAAAAATTAGTAGACATAATTATTGATATATTTTTGATTAGCGGGGTAAGACTTTAATGATGGATTTCATTGGTGATCAAATGTTCGATTTGGAAAAAACTAAAAATTATAACTTAAAATTATCAGCGTGCAACACACGCGTGTATCAGCTAGTTAAAATAAAATGAGCAAAACATGAGCATTGTGCCAAAATGTAGTAGCCATAATATAAAGAGACCCAGTATTAGGAAGTGTTCATCAAACTTAGCACTGTTGTTGATAACATTGAGAGAAACAACCGAGAAATACACCATCTCGCAACTTTGTTAATCCACATGTATGTGCCCATTAGAAGATTGTAAAACCTAGCACCAATTTCAAATAAAGAAGTTCAATTAATTGACTTGTACCACAGAAGTTATGCCGCTATTTCAAGTAGTTCTCCAAGAACAACAACAGAACCAACAACTTGACAAATTAGGGAAATTGAAGCCTTTAGAGAAGCTTCTGAACAAGAAAATAGTTGAGTAGTTGGTCAATGAACCATTGTCAAAGGAAATTCTATTCCTAAAGCAAATGGAAGAAAGTTAACACCAAATTGAGCAAAAGCTTTAATTTGTAATTTACAAAAAATTCAACCTCTCAAATTACAACATGTAACTTCTTACATAATTTTTTTTTCAATGGCTATCAAAGATGAATCAATAACAAATGGGTTGCATGACTTTAATTATTGCATAGTTGAATTGAGTTGGATTCTTCAGTCTTCCCATAAAATAGAAATCAAACAAAAGACCTATAAATTCTCATACTCTTTCTTTTTCCTAATTCACAACACTCAAATAGAGGGCAATGTTCAGACCCTTGTTTTGATTCCCCAAATATGTGGTTTACCTTCAATAAACAACTATGGATTGCTATTCGTATATGTTGAAAGAAAAAAAAAGTGCCAAAAGGAAATTCTACTTGATTCACCCAAGTCAAGTTTCTCCTTGTGTCTCTCAACCACACCATCAGCNCACCAATTTCAAATAAAGAAGTTCAATTAATTGACTTGTACCACAGAAGTTATGCCGCTATTTCAAGTAGTTCTCCAAGAACAACAACAGAACCAACAACTTGACAAATTAGGGAAATTGAAGCCTTTAGAGAAGCTTCTGAACAAGAAAATAGTTGAGTAGTTGGTCAATGAACCATTGTCAAAGGAAATTCTATTCCTAAAGCAAATGGAAGAAAGTTAACACCAAACTGAGCAAAAGCTTTAATTTGTAATTTACAAAAAATTCAACCTCTCAAATTACAACATGTAACTTCTTACATAATTTTTTTTTCAATGGCTATCAAAGATGAATCAATAACAAATGGGTTGCATGACTTTAATTATTGCATAGTTGAATTGAGTTGGATTCTTCAGTCTTCCCATAAAATAGAAATCAAACAAAAGACCTATAAATTCTCATACTCTTTCTTTTTCCTAATTCACAACACTCAAATAGAGGGCAATGTTCAGACCCTTGTTTTGATTCCCCAAATATGTGGTTTACCT